CAGTGATATAGAAATATAGAACTAACATAGTCTGTCTGATTACAGTATATATCTAGCATGTTGTTATATGTTTTGACACTAGCATAGTTCAAGTGGCATATTTAAATGCGGCAATGCCCAGGTTTCAAATCAGTATACTATTTTACTTTATGTCTGGCACATTGTAATAGATCACTGTTTCTGGTACACTTGATTAAAATAATTTCTGGTACAGTGTTATGTCATTTTGTCACTGCAAAAAAAAAACATTTGTTTGTTTGTTTTTGAATAATGATGGTTAAAAGTTATATAACCATGATTTTGATTTTGACTGTATTACAGACTGCCAGTATTTGGAGGCATTCATACAACTGAGCAAAGTTCTTTGCTTTAGGTTGAATGAAAAGCAAAATATAAATATTTGTAAACTGTACTTAGTTACAGAATTTCGTCAATATATTGAGTGCATTAGTTCGTATCACTGAGTAATATCGTGTTTATTTTATTTATTAATTATTTATAATCATTGTCTATGTTTAGGGTCATAAAGGTCACCCTGGACGTAATGGAGAACCTGGTAAAGATGGCATAGATGTGAGTTTAACTTTTCATCTATTCCTGCATTTGATTACATTGCATTCTGCTGACCACAGTTCTTACTACGAATACCAACGCTTGCAAATTTAGAATGTTATCATGCTACTTCTGCTTTGCATCATGGGAAAATAACATTTGCGTTGAACAAAAACAGAAATTGACATAATCTCGCTGATTATTATCTTCCATGCATTTTAATTAATGTCAAACTTCCGAAACAATAAATCTCTCTTCAATGTATGCGCTGTTGTTTACCACATATTATAACATATACTGTTATTCATTGACAGGGAACGAAAGGTCAGAAAGGAGAAGCAGGACCACGTGGTAGAGATGGGATGAATGTAAGTCTCTTGTTTGCACATCAAATTACCCACAATGCATCGACAAACATTAGTTTCGCGCAAAAAAAAATACCCATAATGCATTAGGAAACATCAGCTTTACATTGTGGGAATTATCCATAATGCATCAGCAAATATTAGTTTTATATTGTTGAGTTACCCATAATGCATTAGCAAATATTAGTTTTTTACTGTAAAATGCCCACAATGCATTAGCAATCATTGAGTTTTATACTGTAAAAAAGCCCACAATGCATTAGCAAACATTAGTTTTATACTGTAAAAAATACCCATAATGCATTAGCAAATATTTAGTTTTTTACTTTAAAAAATGTCCACAATGCATTAGCAAATATTAGTTTTATACTGTGAAAAATGCCCACAATGCATTAGCAAATATTTATTTTTTTTACTTTAAAAAATGTCCACAATGCATTAGCAAATATTAGTGTTATACTGTAAAAAATGCCCACAATGCACTAGCAAATATTTATTTTTTTACTTTAAAAAATGTCCACAATGCATTAGCAAATATTAGTGTTATACTGTAAAAAATGCCCACAATGCACTAGCAAATATTTATTTTTATACTGTAAAAAATGCCCACAATGCATTAGCAAACATTCAGTTTAATACTGTGAAAAATTGCCACAATGCATTAGAAAACATTTAATTTTATACTGTAAAAAATGCCCACAATTTATTGGAAAACATTTAATTTTACACTGTAAAAAATTCCCACAATTCATTAGAAAACATTTAGTTTTATACTGTGAAAAATTCCCACAATTCATTAGAAAACATTTAATTTTACACTGTAAAAAATTCCCACAATTCATTAGAAAACATTTAATTTTATACTGTAAAAAATGCCCACAATTCATTAGCATACATTTAGTTTTATTAGGACCGAGAGGAGGAACGAGCGGTTAATTCCAGGAATTGAAACTCTTATTTTATTTGTACATTACAGGGTGTTCCGGGAAGACAAGGTGAGCAAGGATCACTAGGCGACAAAGGAGAAATCGTAAGTGACTAAGTGACTACTACAAAGATGACACTAGATGTGAAAATATTACAATATTATTTTTGCTGCTATTAATTTGAGTGTGTAATGCAATATGTAATGCAACAGTCATTTGGTGTTTAACAGTACATGATTTGATTTTTCTTTCTAGGGTCAGCGTGGTTTTCCAGGAACTCTTGGACCTACTGGACCCATGGGACCCAGAGTGAGTATATTTTTAGAACAGATTAAGCCGAATTAAAGCAATAATTTTCCCAAGACATGTGGCATATGGACTCTTACATTGAATTGATTACATATATAGTGCAGGTAGCAACATATACAGTACAGGTGGCATCATATACAGCGCAGGTGGCATCATATACAGTGCAGGTAGCAACATATACTGTACAGGTGGCATCATATACAGTACAGGTGGCATCATATACAGTGCAGGTGGCATATCACATACAGAGTGGGGACATCATATACAGTGTAGGTGGCATCATATACACTACAGGTGGCGTCATATACAGTGAAGGTGGCATCATATACAGTGCAGGTGGCATCATATACAGTGCAGGTGGCATCATATACAGTGCAGGTGGCATCATATACAGTGTAGGTGGCTTCATGTAAGTGCAAGTGGCATCATATATGGTGCAGGTGGCATCATATACAGTGCAGGTGGCATCATATACAGTGTAGGTGGCATCATATACAGTGTAGGTGGCATATACAGTGCAGGTCACATATACAGTGTAGGTGGCATCATATACAGTGCAGGTGGCATCATATACAGTGTAGGTGGCATCACATACAGTGCAGGTGGCATTATATACAGTGCAGGTGACATATACAGTGTAGGTGGCATAATATACGATGTCGGTTCATCACATACAGTGTAGGTGGCATCATATACAGTGCAGGTGGCATCATATACAGTGCAGGTGGCATCATATACAGTGTAGGTGGCATATACAGTGCAGGTGACATATACAGTGTAGGTGGCATCATATACAGTGCAGGTGGCATTATATACAGTGTTGGTGACATCATATACAGTGCAGGTGGCATCATATACAGTGTAGGGGCATCATATACAGTGTAGGGGCATCATATACAGTGCAGGTGGCATCATATACAGTGCAGGTGGCATCATATACAGTGCAGGTGGCATCATATACAGTGTAGATGGCATCATATACAGTGTAGAGGGCATCATATACCGTGCAGGTGTCATATACGGTGCAGGTGGCATATCATATACAGTGTAGGGGCATCATATACAGTGCAGGTGGCATCATATACAGTGCAGGTGGTATCATATACAGTGCAGGTGGCATCATATACAGTGTAGAGGGCATCATATACCGTGCAGGTGTCATATACGGTGCAGGTGGCATATCATATACAGTGTAGGGGCATCATATACAGTGTAGGGGGCATCATATACAGTGCAGGTGGCATCATATACAGTGCAGGTGGCATCATATACAGTGTAGAGGGCATCATATACCGTGCAGGTGTCATATACGGTGCAGGTGGCATATCATATACAGTGTAGGGGCATCATATACAGTGCAGGTGGCATCATATACAGTGCAGGTGGTATCATATACAGTGCAGGTAGCAACATATACAGTATAGGTGGCATCATATACAGTACAGGTGGCGTCATATACAGTGTAGAGAGCATCATATACAGTGCAGGTGGCATCATATACAGTGCAGGTGGTATCATATACAGTGCAGGTAGCAACATATACAGTGCAGGTGGCATCATATACAGTGCAGGTGGCATCATATACAGTGTAGAGGGCATCATATACAGTGCAGGTGTCATATACGGTGCAGGTGGCATATCATATACAGTGTAGGGGCATCATATACAGTGCAGGTGGCATCATATACAGTGCAGGTGGCATCATATACAGTGCAGGTGGTATCATATACAGTGCAAGTGGCATCATATACAGTGCAGGTGGCATCATATACAGTGCAGGTGGCATCATATACAGTGCAGGTGGTATCATATACAGTGCAGGTGGTATCATATATAGTTTCAATCAAGATATGCTATATTATGTTATAATTACAATAAATACAACAATTTGTTTATACTTACAGGGTATGGAGGGGCCACCAGGTGCCAGAGGAGAGATGGGTTTGAAAGGTGAAAGAGTAAGTATTGACTATAGTATACAAATACTACGATTGATAGTGTGGAGTTAAAATTTATTTATCAAAACATGAAACATACGATGCATAATTTACTTGGTGATTGATTATATTGTTATGTACCTAGCAGGGAATGATCTACATCACTTTTCACAGTCTTCATAAATAAGTGATTTTCTGTTCACTGAACAACGTGACTCCTGAGTGATCCCAGTTGATCATCTTGACTCATTGAGGTCAGGCTATAACATCTTATATGGTCATTTATAGGGGCCAGCTGGAAGGAATGGTCTTACTGGTACGCAGGGACAAAAAGGACAAAAGGTACGTCTCACCTGATAGATATCTTACCTCATATGTCATTATATGGAAATTATATATATTTTTCAAGCTAATGAAATGCACAAGTGCTTGATACCATTGCTATACAATGTGAAAAAAATAACAATATTTTTTTGTGTACTTCCTTGTTAACACATCCACCTGATGATGGTTTTATGCCATTCATATCATCTATCTGTTGATGTAAGGTATTCACTTAAGCCAGATATATATTTGTCAGCTTTGGCCGATTTATCGCTTATTAATTGGCATCTGTTGAATAACTGACCAAGACATGAATTTGTTTTATTCCAAATCATTTAGTTGAAGACAATTATGTACTCAGTTGTTTCAGCATTTTGAATACTAAAGTTGCTTCAAAATCATTCTGCATAATTTTGTTTACATTTCTTTTTAATTGTTACTACAGCAAAGTGCCTACAGCAATGGAAAATTATGTCCATTTACCAATATTGAAACATCAGATTACTATCCCAAATTGTCAATTCTCAGTCATGAAGAATTAAAAAAAGATGTATGATATATAAATGAAATAAAATATGACAACTTTAATGTGTGGAAATTCAATTATAATTTAGTGTTGGTTCATATCATTACAATTACCTGTATCACATGTGTAAAGCCTCTAACAAGAGGTCTGGTGGGAAGAAACAATGCAAGGTGAAATTACCAATCAACGAAGTCTGAGTACTGTAAAATACTTTATTTTAGCTGGAATTATTTTTTGCTGAAAATACATTTTTGGTGCTTTGTATGGAATTTATTTTCACTGATTTTTGACAAGGTGAATGTAAAATATAGGAAAAAAGGTATATTTGCTGAATTTTATTTTCACTGAATCATTCCTTTGGCGAAAATTAATTCTAAGTAAAAATAAAGTATTTTACAGTATATGTTTTATTCACTGCTGCATTGTTCTTATATAGGGTGAGGCTGGTATGGACGGGATGGACGGCGCGCAGGGTCCTCAGGGACAGAAAGGAGCCCAGGGTGACGTCGGATTAATAGGACCTTCAGGAAAGGATGGTTTCATGGGATTGACAGGTCCACCTGGTCCAACTGGACCAGCGGGAATGAAAGGAAATCAAGGAAAGCAAGGAGAAACTGGATCCAGAGGAGCTAGAGGATTAATGGTAAGCTTGTAACCATTTTGATGGTTTCTTCTCTGTTGCCCATATAGACTTTTGAATATCAAATTCAACATTTCAATTCAACAAACAAAAAATTTTCACTAAATAATTTGTATAGTTCTTAAACCATTTCACGACCAGACTTTCTCCCCAAATTATTCTGCGCTTTTTTCTTATAATTCTCCAATATTTCTTAAAATAGATCTTAATCAATTTTCAGTTTTTACTCAAAACATTTGACTATATTTGTCCCAATCTTCTGAAGGAAAATGCAGACTATAAACAGGACTATTTTGTGAATTTGTAATAAAAATAGGGAACTGGTGGGGAAAAAGTTACACCAGTTACGTTTTGGCATTTTAGTAGGTGACCAGTTGGTGATGTCACAATCTCAAAGGACCAATCAAACTTGACTCTCATGGGATGTAATATGGAAAAATATTTCATGTCCTTATGCTACTGCATATGATACATGTGATGAGACATTGTTCATCTACTGATTTTTTCAAAATTCTGACAAATCTTTCGTGAATACACATAAATATAAAGAGGTTTTAAAAATTGCTACTGCTCAGTGTATCCAATATAGTGTAATGCTGGTTCCAGGGCCCATTCTTATTTTACTATTGATGCATCCTTTGTTACAGTTATAGTTTGTATCTCTGATTTTGGGTGTTTTTGTGGTTTCTAACAACAATGGTATAATATAATAGCAATAAACCATCACATGGCCAAGTATACTACATGGTTTTTGCACAGAAGCTATAATATAATATAATATAATATAATATAATATAATATAATATAATATAATATAATATAATATAATATAATATAATATAATATAATATAATATAATATAATATAATATAATATAATATAATATAATATAATATAATATAATATAATATAATATAATATAATATAATATAATATAATATAATATAATATAATATTATTATTAAAGACACAAAAAACATTTAAAACTCACAAAACCTTTGTTAGCATCTACCCCACTGGAAGTTGATTACTGGTTTATACTTTTTATTTACAGGGGGTACAAGGAATGCAGGGATTGCCAGGTCTTGAAGGCCCAATTGGTAAGAAAGGAGATCGAGGCCAGACTGGTGTTGCTGGAGATCCTGGAAATCAAGGACCTATGGTGAGCAATAGTGCCCTCTATGGGCAATGAGACAATTTAACATTTGCTTTTGTTTTTGTCTTTCTATTTTTTGATCAAATTATGTAAAAAGTCAAAAATAATAAGCATAATTGAAGTTTGACTACTACTTCTTTTTTTCACAGAAGTGAAACTTTATTGAAAACAGGGTTCTGGAATTTCTTTCTATAAGTTGTCCTTTAAAATCATATATTCTCGCATAGTAAGTTTTCCTGCGCCACTAGACATGGTTTTCCTGGAAAAAGTGTTTGCATTGTAATTGATTGGCCATGAATGTTGGGATTGACGATTTAATTTTTCACTTTATAAAAAATATATACAAGCTCATTGTTAATTCATGTAAATGTACTACAGGGACCGAGAGGCGAGACTGGACCTGTGGGATTGAAAGGACAGAAAGGTGATCTTGGTGTTCCTGGCATCCAGGTAAAATAAAGAAAGTGACAAACTGTATTCGTGCATGCAACTTAGGAAATACGGGAAAAGCAAAAACTGTCCGATAAAGTATAAACTGTTCATGTGTCATTTGAATAAAGAAAAGTTTTAGTAATGTTCATGAGAATTAATGCAAAATGTTGCTTATATCATGGATATGATTTCAAGAACTTAACTATCAATTTCTTCTCTATCTTCACTGTTTAGGGCCAAACTGGATTTCCAGGTCCTGTTGGTATGAAGGTAATAAATGAAGTTTTAAATCATATTTTATATAATTTTTTTTCTCCAGTGCACACGCAATGCATCCTGGGAGTACAAATTACTGTAAAAGGGTTAATTATTCACTGGGTTTTAATTTTGCTTATTTCGCTGACTGAAAATGCGCTAAATTAAAACCCAGTGAATATGTAAAATTTAGCATAGAACACATTATCTAAATAATAAAACCGTGAATTTGAAA